TTTAACACTGCCTTTGATCTTAAAATTCGGCTAGGAAAGTATTTATTTTTTTTTAGTAAAAAGGTAGTAAGGAAAGTATAATAGTATAAAAGTATATCGAAATCAAGATTCGAGTTTGAGGGTTTAACAAGAGATTTTCGAATGAATGTCTGACGTCAAGAAGCATTAACTACAATAGTATATATTTCAATGATGAAAACTGTAAAATCCTCAAAAATTTGTGATAGGTCGAAGTCAAGTCTCAAGAACCTTTGATATCAAATTTCAGACAATTTATAATTCTGCAGACTGTGAATGTAAATTTGATAATATATGCCTTGAATTGTATTCTATTAATTTAAAATAAACCATGAGCATCCTTACTACTTATATACATCTTATTGAAAAGTCGATACATTTGATACTCACTTCCTCTAGGAAGTGTGGGTCTTTAATTTTTTTCCTCGCACATAGCAATTGTTGCAATAGCTTCCTTTAAAGTGGTGGTGGTGGTGGTGTTGCTGGTTGGTGCTCATTTCTGATTTGCCCGAACGTTGACGACCAAAGCATTGGCCCTGCGCTAGCGCAATCAAAAGGCAGTGGTAGTAGAATAAATCTTGTTGGCAGCACAGTAAAATGCCGTTGGCCGAATACTCGTTGTTTGCATTGTATGCGAATGTGTCACAAGTTCATTGGAATGCATCAGGCGAGCGACATACGGATTTCATGCTACATATCACATGTCGCATGGCGCTTTCATAGTTCATAGCCGGCTTGTGGCTGTTGGCTGCTGTGATTGCACCGACTTGTTTGTTCGTGCCAATAAACGCGCTCAAACACATGCGAGTGTGTGTGTTTGTCCGCGTGTTCATACTCAAATATGTGTGTGTGTGTGCGTGTGCGAAAATGTATGCTTTCTGGCAAATGATTTGGCCGCATTACACAGATGCTCTCATGCATGGACCGCGTTGTTGTTGTTATAGCCACGCAACTCCTCATCAGCTGCTGCGACTTGCAAGCAGTTGTAGTTTCAGTTGCACTCGCCTTACCCGCTAGATTGCAGCAACAACATGTCATATTTTCTACCAACGATCGACCGAAATGTGTGTCCTTGCATGTGACTATCTGCTGGTTCTGCTGTTGCAAGCCTTTTTTCTACTACTGTAACTGCTTTGTTTTCTTCTGGTGTTTTGTAGAAGTGTTTAGCCAGATTTTTGCCGCTGCCTCAGTTGCTCGTATTAACCGTTACATATAAATTTAGTGAAATATTCATATGTATGTATGAGTATATCAGAGATTGCCACAAAATGTGGCAAATTGCCAAAAAAATCAAACCCTTGCATATAAACTGCAGTGACGCTGGTCCTGCCTGCCATTAGTGCATCCATGTCTGCGCCCTTGTTGCTGCTCTGCTACACTGTGCTCCGGCAGATCTAGGTCTTTTGGCGTTGTTATCCTAGTAGGACTTAATTAAAAGTGTTTTTGCATTGTTTTTTGGTTTTGCGTTGTTTTGTACAGGTATTAACGCCCGGCTCATAGAAAAATTGTTGGCATTTAACTAGACGGTGGGTAGTTAAAATATTAATTTGACCATATGGAATGTGGAAGTTATGTATTTAAACACTCAACAAAATGATTTTTGTGGAAGTAAATTGCCTTGAATACATTAAAATATTTATTTATTTTAAGTATTTTTCGTTTAATAATAAATTGAAGCTTAGCTTGATGGCAAAACCTTCTAACAAATTAGTAAAATGAATGAAAATGCACCGAAGCTATAATACCCTTCACAGGCGCATTTCATATATCAACTGCATGTATAGCCAAATTTGAAAACTGGCCAACGGTTCGCATGCAACGGAAATTGTCTTGCTATTTCTTTCTAGGAATCTTGTTTGATATAAACAGCCTTTAAATCGAATAAAGGTTTTTAAATCAAGAAAAGAGATATTTATCTTGATTTTGATCGATCAGTTTGAATGTCAGATAAGTATAAGCTATGGTAGTCCGATCTGTACAATTTTTTGGAGATTGTTGACTTGACCATTTTGTGTAGCTCACAAGAAATTGATTTGGATCGGTTATTTTATATATACCACTATAACCTATAGTTATGTGGTTCCCATACATTGAGCTTTTTTTGCATCCAATCAATAGCTTAAAAACGAAAATTAATGTTGAATAATTTGGCGGCAAAATTTTACTTAGCTACAAGTTAAACTCAGTTTATTTGTAATATATTTATATGAAATCATCAAATTATGACAATGTTTTAAAGTTATTTGATAGTCACCTAGTCATAATCGGAATTGATTTTTGTATGAATCTATGTAGCTGGAAAAAAATTAGGTGCTGTAAGAAAAAGAAATTAGAAGGTGGCATTAACCTTCTCCCTTAATCAATAAACAGTTTGTATCTCTTTTATTTAGTCTTTATCTTTTTCCTTCACCTTGCACCACTGCAGCTCTGTGTTTTAGTAGTGAAAAATGGTTACCTAGTAGAACAGGTTTGAACCTGTTACTTCTTTATGATGGTGAATACGGTTTGTACAGTAGTTCGACTGCACTCTCTAGGTTAAGATGACACGACTGCTTTACTAATTTATTTATTCAAAATCTATTAATCCAATTACAATTACATATATATAAAGCGTCTAACAATAGGAATGAAGTAATTTTGACAGCTCGTGGCGGCCATGTTTGTTTACGTTGGTTTGTGTCAAGCTTTGTTAGTGTTTTCAGTAAGGTTGCCCATATCATTTCACAATCGCACGTTTTACTTTGGAACAATGCTTGGAAATTGTCCACGATTGTTACGCAAATTCACGTTTTTCGGTGGATATTTTTTTATTTTACATTGCAAAATAAATCATCTTCTCAGATGAGGCCCATTTATGGCTTAATGGCATCGTCAAAAAACAACATTATCGCTATTGGGATGAGTGAAATCGTCGTGTGGTTCAGAAAACGCAATTGCAACCACAAAAATTGACGGTTTGTTACGGATTGTGATATGGCGGCTTCAGCGGGCCTTATTTCTTTTGAAATGTTGCACAAAATGCCGTTACCATCAATAGTGATCGTTATAGCACGATGTTCAGCGACTTTTTTGCCCCGGAATTTGAAAAAATCGACGCAGACGATACCTTAAAAAAAGAAAATAATAACAGATCCCTACATTATATTATATGTTTTGTTTTAAATGCTTACTAAATTCTTAATGAATCGGTCAGAAAACTAATAACTCACAGTTCTTTAAAAATAACCAAACTGAATTGTAAATATTTTTCATAAACTCACCCACACATGCTTATTACCGTCATAAAGTAATAAAAGCGCCACGCATCAGCAGTAATGCCGTTGGCCTGTGGCACTTGTGCTCAATGAATGGCGAAGGTGCCGCCAGCAAGGCGTTGTTTCAATTTTACTGCACACTTTTAGGCGTTTAAATTGAATTTAAGCGGCGTGTTTGGCACGAACTCACATGCACACGCAGTCAAGCTGAGAATGAAGTGTATGCATTGAGGCACACACACTTGCACACATGTTTATAGGTAATTTGTATATACACTTGGGCAAAGCTTTCAACATACACATATACAGACATACAGACGCGCAAACAAGCACACACGATTCCATTGTTGCACTGACGGCAATATTTCTTTTTTCTCTTGGCTCAATAGGCGAGCGAGCGCACAGTTTTAGTAGCCATTAAAGCTGCGCTTGCATTATGTCGCTATGAAGTTAACTTCGTTTCCTCCGCGTCAACCAACGCTGCAGCGGCGCGCACCTCTCCCCCTCAGCAGGGTTAGTCATCCATAATGCACGCATATACGACGCATGCCAAGCGGAAATGCTGACTGGCCTGTGCCAAGAATGCGAGTACAGCGGCGCAGCGGCGCATGGGTTGGGGCATGTGTGTGCGCCGGCTGCATTGGGAGAAAGGGTTGATTGAGTTGCCGTTAGCTTGCGACCGCTTCAAGGTATTGTTAGCATTATGGGCGACTGCAATACCAATGGATATTAGGCCAAACAAAGAGCACGATGCCTGTATGTGCCTATGTATGTATATATTAGTGCGTGTGTGTGTGTGTGTATCCGACATGCCTTGCCGGCGAGTGGTTTCATTGCATTGCCAAACATAAATTAATTTTCCTCTGCCCGACTCGTCAGTCAGCCAATGAGCAAGTGCACCAGCGATCTAGCGAGCCAGCGAGTCGCCTGCCAAGAGTCAGTGTTGCCACCTCGCCAGCTGCCGCGCCTTTGCTGTCATGTTTTCACTGTTTAACGACATGTTAGTTTTTGCACATTAAAACGTAAAAGTCGAAGGAGTCTAACCATTTAAAAGAACATTTTATTGACTCATTATTCATGTAGCAGTTCTTTCCAGCAGAGCGAATTCCTTTATTGTGGTCTCGTTTTATGAGTTCACCGCTATACAGCGGCCATTATGGGCAACCAAGAAAAGATTTTAATGAAATGTTAGGAGGAAATCTAAAAAATGCTTTGGTTGCCACACATAACTAGTACAGTTATGGAATATCTTATTGCAAATAAAAAAACCTTGTTAAAAAAACTTATAACGTTTTTCTTTAAGAAAAATGAAAAATGAAGTATATTTTGATGTTAAACTTTAAAGAGCGAAAAAAAAGAGAAAAAAAAATTTCTAAGGTTGCATCTTTGCATTCATTCTTTTGATTTCACACACATACTCACACATTTGCATCTTATTATTTGTGTAGACATGTATATTCTACACGAAGATGCTTCTTGGTCTAAACGTTGTCAACGTGGTGTGACACATGTCGGATTAGTTGTTGGCGCAGGATAACAAACTCATCATGTCAGGCGGCTCAAATTTCCTTCTCGTTGTAACAAAATTAATGACAAGAATATGACAGTTGATGCTTTTAAAATAGCTGCTACTCAAGAAGTTAAACGACTCTTGGAGCTTGTGCTCGCGCTATGAAAGCGAGACATTCATTGATATTCAGAATTAATATTTAGAAGAAAACAAGAAAATTTAAAATTTAATACTTGCAACTAGTTTTTGTTTTTTATTTTTATCTAAGTCGTAGTTACTCGTACATATTTGTGACACAGTACGATTTGCAATGCTGTGGTACTCTTCTAATCGACTTCTCTGCATGTTGGTCAGTTAGTTTCATTATAAATGTGTTCTCAGAAAGAAGTGTGCCTTTTCAGGTAAGCCGCGTATTCTTTATGCCTCATCATAACTTTCTATAGGCAAACATTTTTTTTGCTGTTGTTGTAGCATCATAAAACATTCGTCAAATGGTGTACTTTATGGTATTTACTCGTTTGTCTTAGGAATGGACGATGAGAGGCTTTGGGACCTTTTATTTTGGTCTGAAGCTGGAAGATAGTTAAATTATTTAAATGGTAGTGCAGAGTCCACAGTTTAATTTTGTTTGGGTTTTTACCGAAAATATTGTGAAACAATTTCAATATGTAAGATACCGTGCTCTCAAATATATTATATTTAAAAATTTTCAAAAACTGCTTGATACACAAAAGTTTATAGTTATTTTCTTACTTCGATCTATTTTTGAAGCAAAAAACCAAGTGTGTACTTGCAATACGAAACCCATAAAATCAAAACTATATTTTCTGAAGTATTTTGAACAACAGCGACACCTAGCGAGTGTTTTTTCTGAATTCGAAAAATAAATATTAATTTGTAGAACAAGAGCCATAACACCCTTTACATTAAAATATTTAAAAAAAAATCCTTTGGTTAATAAAAATAATTTTTCTCATCTCATTTTCTCCGCAGATCCTGCACAATTTTAGACGTAATAAATGTGAAAACCCAGACCTCGTGAGCAATAAAACATCAACGAAGCATACGTATACTTATTTAAACGTCGTAGCAAAATATCGTTATAAATTTACAAGCATCCGACATGAAACTACATAAAAGCAGTTATTTCATGCGTATGAAATGAATCATTCAAGCGAGAAAATTCACAGCAGCACTTGGTCCCGTTCACATGGTGGTCGTTTATGCACCGCAATTGCCAGCCGCTACGAAATTGTCACGTGTTTTATTGTGACCAATGCTGGATGCCACAATTGAGGCGTTATCTCGCACATCGTAATGCAACATTGGAGTGGAATTGCCAAAACGTGCAATAGATACGTTGTGTCGCCACGCCCCCACTACCACTAGATGCAGTGGAAGAAGAAGTTTACTCGATTGAAAGCAGCTACAGGAAATTCGCGTGCGCGAAGAATGCTTTGTTGTGGACGAAGAAAGGTGAGTGACAAAAGTTTTTCCACAAAATGTTTGTTTTAACATGGAAGTTGTTGAAAGAATTCTTTGTATTTGCAATTGGCATGAGTGCGTATAATCGGTGTGAAAGAGTTGCGCTTATTCGGAAATATTGGAATTTCAATATATAATATTTGAGTAGAAGTTGATACTCCACTGTCGGATATCGGCAATTACGCATTCCTGATGAGCTTTGTGTCAGATTCTTTGCCAATTGTCTTTTAATTGATTTTGTTTTTACTTTTTTATTTTTAGTCGGAGTTTTAGAATCTTACTTATGTAGTGGCACTTCTTCATAGGGCTTCAACCATTTTAGAAAGATCGAATGCTTCTTATAAACGATTGGTTTTATAGTAAGCTCTTAATTTATTATACGTTTAGAAATTCCACAACATCAAGTAGGTAAATAATTATGGTATGTGTCTTATTTGGTTGGATCCATCTGCGTTAAAGCTATTCGGTTGTCATGAAAAATGAGTTCTAGTATAACTTGCGGAACTCGCTGATGCATATTTTAACGATTCTAATCGAGTAACGTTTAAAAAAATACGTAAAATCAAAAAGTCTTCACGTTCTTTTGAACTATTTCCATCTTATTGAAACTGCAATGGCTATAAAATGCTGTCAATTGTCATTCAATTTTGTAAAATATTTAAAATAAGCTGAAATTGACCAATTGGATGGCGTTTAATATACTGGTAAATGCTCTTACATTTATTACATACATATAAACTCATATTCCAGTAATTGGCATTTTACGATAGTCATATGTTCTCATTTTTGAAATAACTGTTAATATGTGTGAGAATGCATGCAAGCATTACCCTGCAGGAATGGAAAAAATACATTCCTTTCTGTATAAAGAGAATTTTTGCTTTAGCTATCGAAAGCATTGTATATACATAAAGACCAGAAAGTTTCCGGAAATTGTTGGCCCACAATTCCGGTCGTTTACGACGGATGTTTTCGCGCAAACGCCTCAAACGCCTCAAAATGCTCAAATAATACTCTTCATTAACCGTCTGTCCCGTTGGAATGAATTTTTGATGAACCAAACCGCGAATATCGAAAAAAAAACAATTTCCGGAAACTTTCTGGTTTCATGGCATAACATCTACAGAGTATAATGAACAATTTTAAGATCAAAAACCTGTTCAATACCATCGACCAACTATTGTATGCACCGGATTTGATTCCATGCGACATTCTGTTGTTTCCAGAACTCAAGTTACCACTCCGTGGAATCCGTTTCGACTCGATTGAGGCCGTAAAAGAAAATTCGCAGAGGGAACTGAAGGCTATCCCGGACCCGGACCTACAAGGCATATTTCGAAGATTGGAAAAAGAGATGGCATATGATTTGAAGGAAACAAAATAAATATTGCTGAAGATAAAATATATTTTTCATTTTATTTACAATTTCCGGATACTGTCTGGTCTCAATGTACACGGCTCGTTCCGAGATTTATTTTATTTACTACCCGGTTTTTTTATACTTCTTAAAATATGTTTGGGCTTTGCTTTCTTATCGAACAAATTTTAAAATTCCGATCACTTCCAAAGTACAATAGATTAAAACGCACAGTTGCTCCAATTGAAATCCAAATGAAATCTCTTTGAGGTTGTGAAATTAGAACCCTCTTGCCTGTTAGTAATACAAATATTACTAATATTACTATTTAAAATATAATGTAGAAGGTCTTCAAATTTGATTGATTTATTTGAAATAATATTGCAAAACTTGCAAATTAAATGTGGTCCTGCTGGGTAGCTGTGAAATGCAACTATACAATTGTCCGGCAAAGGAGTAGATGCATACATATATATTGTTGTGCGTGTGGCTCTGCATGTGTGTAACCAAAATTAGCAGAAATATGAAGCTCCAAATTATTACGAGTCTCCGCCCCCTTGCACAATGTATGCGCACAGGCACAAGCAAAGGTATTTAAGAATTTGGCACATGGCCAGTTAGTCAGTAGCCAAATTATTTAGGTATTGTATTGCATTAATAACTATTAATAACATAGTCAGCGTATTTGCAAAGACCTGTATGAACAGTATGTGAGAAGAATGTTGTGTGAACTGACATTTTTGAAATTTTACCGAAATTCAACTTTATTCACTGCTATACGCACAATTATGAGTACTCCAACTTCGATAGAACAAGCCTTTTTAGAAAGCTTTTTGTTTTTTCATTTGACTTTACTTTGAGATCCATTTCTCGACTCTTTGGAAGCTTTCTCTTAAAACTTATACCTTGACTCCAAACCATGGCCGATAGAGTACAAGAAGGCGACATGCAATATTGTAAACGAAATGAACTGACAAACTTTCAAAGTATTGTGAACGAAACCTTTAAATTTTTTCATTCATTATTTCATGAAACAATGTATTTTGTATCTGTCAAACACACTCTTAATAATTAAACGTACGTAATTGTTGCAATCTCTAAGAAATGTAAGACCGCTTAAACAGTCTATCAAAAACTATGTTGAATAGTCAGAACAAAGTTACGACCAGTAAGTAAGGAGCTCGTTTAACACATTATATCTATTAATGCCATCGAAATTCAAATACAGATTTTTGAGTTTTCATGCACATTTTTTCTATGACTGTGCATCACAGTAGTTGGCTTTAAGGAGCAAACAAAAAATATTAGTTATTTTCATGTAAACTTGCCTACTGGAAGCAACACTATTTATTTATTGCACAATATGTTTGCGCAGTATGCAAAATTCGATTTGAAAATCATTTCGATATTTTCGTTGTGTAGCTATACTGCCTGGGGGTTAACAAATGGTCACGGAACTCTGTTGCATGTACTCGTACGAGTATGTGTTTATGAGAATATTGAATCAATGAGGACTAACTCCATTATTAGTTGTTTTGGTTTGGTAGCTGGGAAATTGTGGTGGCGGCCATCGCAAAGGCTTGGTACCACAAAAGCATACAACCAACATTAAACCATAATCTATATTGTCTATATATATACATACAATATATACGCGCATATTGCGGCGGATGTGCTCTTTGTATGCAATGCGAGCCGCTGCCCTTTCTTCATACGAAGTGGATCCATTTGAGAAGGGTGCCACATGCCATTGTGTTTGAACGGAACATATAATATATGGCAAGTAGTACATGCATGAGTCGCATGTGAACACTTTGCAGTCATAAATTTAGATTTTCTCTTGAATATCAATAAGCCATAATTGCCGGATTTTTACTTATGTGCGGGGCTGGTATGCAGGAACGCCTATATAGAAGAACCTGACAAGTGGGTAATTTTCCTGCATAGAGCTTCTGTGGGTTAATGATCAGTGTACTATGATTGCGTTCTTAAAGCCAATAATTGGATATAAAAATATTGTTTTGTGTTGAACTTTACCAAAAATTATGATTCTTAGCTTTCAGAAATTTGTTGGTTTGTACGCAATTATGCAAACTGGCAGAAATTATTACAAAACACAAAACACACCCTGCACAATCAAAATCGCTGCAAGTGTTTAAATAATAAAACTTTGTTTACAAATTTATTTTGCCGCATTTTTTATTGCATACGCTTTCGCTTTTCAGTTAATAAAACTGCCTTTCCAAACTGAGTTGTCTACAAATATAAATCCACGCGCACAAACAAGTCTCTACAAAGTATGCAAGAAGCCTCCCCTCCCCTTCCCCCGCACCTGACTGCTATACTGTTTGCTCACTCTTTTGTCTGTGGGTAGGGAGTGCTGTTGGCTGTGCATCGTGAACAAACAAAATTGAATTTGCAATGTTATAAACTGAGTTCGAGGCAAAATTAATTTGTTTATAAAAGTTGTGCACTCAAATTCAAGTTGCTGCGAAATTGCGATAGAGCAGCAGGCAGCTCGTCGCTATCATTCGTTTTAAGCTTTTTGGCGCGTAGTTCGCGCTTTTATAAAAGATAAAAAAAAACCGCAGGTTTATCTGCATTTTCTGGAATCAGGAATCTGCGAAGCCAGGAATTTATGGCCTGATTTATAGCCGTATAGAATTTGGAAAAAGAAATTCGATGTTCACACTTCTTCTGAAAATAGAGAATACAGTTTAAAAGGAAAGAAAAATACACTGATTTTCTGTTTCTGTGCAATAATATCTTTTAGTTGACTACTTCATTATTTACAAATTCAAAACATTATATGTTAATAAGTATGTTGGAAGCCATTAATAAAAGTAACTAAATTTTGTCGAAGATGTACCTTATGTATTTTTTGTAAAACTACAATCAATGCATCCAAGAGAAATTTTAATAAACTCAGTAAAGAGTTTTCCCAAACCATCCAAACCAACCAAATCTCTTATAATTTTGTAATGAAGTGCCTCTCAATTTAGTGGATTTATCATCTTTAAGATAAATATTTGAATGCAAAAATATAAATATAAAATACTATTTGATCAAACCTCGCGTCACCAATAAAACGTTTGATAAATGTCAGATTCTCAGCGACGTTGTCAAGCATCTCTTTTGCGACCTCTACTAGACGTCGTTTTTGCAAGAGATGCAGGTTTTTTGGTACCAGCCTAGCATTGGCACGCTTCATACACAAAACGTGTTGTGCCGTTCTAAAAGAGATGTTGCGATTCTCTGCTATCGCTCTATTAAGATTCCGATGACTTCACGCGATTGCATTGGAAACACAAAATTTCAAGCAAGCTGGTTTTTCGATTGTTTTTTTTGTGGTAAAAAGCGCAAGACAAATTGTTCGCGCCTTAAAAAAATAGCTGATAAACACATACTAATTGACATATGGAGATTAAACCTCACACGAATAATGAAAATGCGAAAATAATTATTATTAACTTAAATACTCAACTTAAGTTTTGAAGTTGAATACAAAGCGTCACTAGTTAACTTGTTTTTAAAGAATTAGTTAAAAATGAATATTTCAAAATGGCTTGGTGACGACTAATTGGCGTCATATAGATTAGAATCTCTCTTTTACATATACATATACACAAAGTTT